AAATAAAGCTATGGGTTTCAAAATGGGTCACCAGCTTAAGGATGATTGTGAAATTTGCAATGCCAAAAATGAAGGGAGTCAGAACTTTCTGGCTCAAGTCATATCCAGAAACCCCTACTTCCCCATACTATTTGCAATGGATGATAAGGCTGTCTGCTTGTGGCAGGTACAAAATTAAGCTGAAAATAAAGCTGAGAGTCTCAAAATTGGCTACCAGTTTCAGCTCATGGGAGCTGCAGTGCCAAAAATGATGAGAATTGGAACAGCCTGGCCCAGGTTATCGTAACTGTAAGCCACTTGCCTAACCTACCTCCCAGGGTTGTTGTGAGAATGAAACGGAGGAGAGAAGAACAATGCCAGTTGCTTTGGCTCCCCATTGGGGAGAAAGGCAGGGTTTGACAATCGTTATAAATCCAATGTTGGCTACAGTTCACAAAAAAAGGATGATTGCTCTTGTCATTGCTTCATGAGGCAATTGTGGCAGCCCTTTTGGCAGGAGGCAGAACTGTTGATTCTGCATTTGAATTACGATTAAAGACTATGAGTGCAACAGCTCACAAGGTTGGTGAGAGGAGTGAGCGGGCTTACCTCTGGTATTTTAATATATTTTTATTTACAACAATTAAAAAAGAATAAAAAAGAGAAGGCGCCCCAAAAATATAATTAACAAGGCTACTTGCCTTTTACTCAGGGTGAAGCTGAGAAAAAAAATACTTGCCTTGTACACAAGGCAATTGCTTTGTGGTACTAGAAGAGGAGAGGAAGGTTGTGCAGAAAACTGGGGCTACGTAATGTATTATCGGAAGCTAAATCCAGACAAGGTAAAGGAAATGCTGATGGGATAAAATTGTTCTAGACAGCTTAACTATCTCAGTGTTTAATGAATAAAATTGTCTGACTGTTATGATATTGTTCAAATTGCTGGCTATTAATTATTAAGTTCTATACAGGCTAGAACTCTCATTATCTTCAACACCACTTGTCCTAGTACACGCCTGTGTGGCAACTTTGCTCCTCAGACCAAGGCTTTGCTTCAGGTACCAACTTGTAGACAGGCAAGGATGTCCTGTGCTTGTGCTAGACCAGGCCTCCCCCACAAGTCTTTTTGATCCTGTGGGCACCTTTGGAATTCTGACACAGGGTGGTGGGTGCAACCCACTGGAGATGGAGCCAACCACAAAATGACCACCATGGGAGGCAGAGTCGCACACATTTATTTATTTATTTATTATATTTATACCCCTCCCTCCCTGCCATGGCCGGCTCAGGGCGGCTTACAACAACATAAAAACTACAATGCATAAAATAACAATCTTTTAATAACAATATTAAAAGGTGCTAACAATAATAATCCAGTTTCCAATAACAGATATCAATTTAACATTATGTCTAAGATGGCGCTCAACTTCCAGAGGAGGCCCAAGTGCAGGGGACTAGAGGAGTAATTTTTAAAAATACACTGAGCAAGAAGAGTGAGAGAAAGAATAAAACCAACACCGTAGGAGCAGCTGCTGCCGAAATGTTATTTTAATCAGCACAGCCAATCAGATCTCTAGTGCCCAATCACAAGCCCTGCTAGTCAGGAGACACACCTGACCCCACCCATTTTCTAAAAAAAACTTGGTGGACCTCAGGAAAGGTGTCAGAGAGCACCAAGTTGCCCGTGGGTGCTATGTTGGGGAACCCTGTGCTAGACTGTTTTCTGTTGTGATGTTACTATTATGGAATGGCCTTCCTGAGAATGTCAGCAAGGTCCTTATGTTGTTAGTGTTGTAGTCATAGTTTCCTCTAAGCTGTGCTAGGGGGTGCTGGTGCACAAAATTTTAACAGGCAGCTCAGGGATTTCTGCCTCAGCTCACAACCTCCATTGGAAACAATGAAGGATGGGGGCACCTCCTTCTAGGGCCCATAGAATTGGACCCCCTGGTCCAATCTTTTTGAAACTTGGGGAGATTTTTCAGTAGAGGCACCAGCAGCTATGATTTGTAAGCTGCCTTGAGTCACAAGGAAAAGTGGGATATAAATATTTGAATAAATAAGTACTTTGGGCAGGTTGATAACAGTTTGGTGTAGTGGTTAAGTGCGTGGACTCTAATCTGGGAGAACCGGGTTTGATTCCCCACTCCTCCACTTGCACCTGCTGATGTGACCTTGGGTCAGCCACAAGCTCTGGCACAGCTGTCCTTGAAAAAGAGCAGTTTGTGTCAGAGTTCTCTCAGCCCCACCCACCTCACAGGGTGTCTGTTGTGGGGAGGGGAAGGGAAAGGAGTTTGTAAGCTGCTCTGAGACTCCAAGTGAAGGGTGGGGTATAAATCCAATCTCTTCTTCTTCTTAAGCAACTTCCTGTTTGTTAGGTTAGGCAGGGTTCTGACAGTGATAATCACTGAGTGATTGTTCCTCCTCTATTATACTTGACCTGTAATGCTAGTTGTCATATGATCATATTTCACTAAAAAAAAAAGTAGACTGCAGGAGGGCCCCCCCACCCCCCAAAGTGCTGGTATGTTTTCTAAGGCTCAGCACAGGGTAACGGTCCAAGGCCAGATCTACCAGCATAGTGGACTGAGGTGGGAAGATCTCTTCTCCAGAGGCCAGGTCTACCAATACAGTGGAAAGGGGTGGGTGAAAATTGACTTGATTCTGTTTTCTCTTATAATGTTTAAATTATTCTTAAAATATAGTTTTAAATATAATTTAAAATAATTTATTCTGAGATTTTAAAAATGCTATAAATAAATCCAAGTTTAGTTGTAGGGAATTACATATGGCACCAGGTACATTCTTCTGTACTAGTTATACTGAGGCATTATTATGTTCAAATTAGAAAAAAGCATAACTTGTGAGTGGGGATAATGTGCATTAGCTGAAGTATCCCAAGTGATAATTAAAGCACTTTAAAATGCTTGTGTGATTTTGGCCTAGATCTCTATTCATTGTGAATGATCTTTTGGAAACTGCCCACATGAGAAATGAGTTCAGTTAGGACATTAATTGATTAATCACTGCTCTGCACACAATGAAATCATTTTCTAGGCTAAAAGGTAGCTGAACAAAGGAAGTGTGTATTAGAGTGTCAGTGGACAATGAAGGTATTATTATTGTTCTGATGTTTATAAAGAGGTAGCAGGAGTTTAGGGGAAGCACAATGTGTATATGGAGACGTGTGTATTAGGGTTACCACACCCTATAGCTGTTTTAGGAAGGGAGGGAGTGGAAGTGGGGTTAGCAAGTGATCAGATTTTTTAAATGTGAAGACCAAAATTTATTTAGTAAAGCTGGAGATTTGTCTGTGTAAATGTTTGTAGCAGCATTTTTATTTAATCATATTGTATAACTTAAGTAACCATGCATATATATGTCCTAATGCATGATTTTTGTGATGGAAATAGGGTGGCTGAAGAGACTTTAAAAAAGAGGAGATAGTAGTAGCATAACAATGCAGAAGAACTTCTAACACATTTGCTTTCCTGTGTAGCTCCTCTATCTTAACCCAAAAGTCCACTGGACATTGTTTCTTGACTCCATTCTTGACTTTTAAAAACTGGAAACTGGCATTAAAAAAATCAAATGAATATTTATTTCCCTTAATGTAGTCCCAAATGTATTATGTCATTGATTTTGCTCAATGTTGTACACCGCCCTGAGCCCTTTGGGTCAGAGTGGTTTATAAATAAATAAAAAAATTAAAAAATAAATAATATGGGGTAGCGCTTCAGTTTCCCCACATAAAGTAGCCCCTGACTGGTATGTTCCATTTTAGAAACTGAACTTTGGAGTCTTATGTGGGTTTGCAAGTTTAGCGTTGTGTACAGTGAAAATAAATTTGGCTGAGGTGAGTACGGGTTGGGGATGGACATTATAGTAAGGTGCGAGGCAACTGGAAACTTTTCAGGGGTGGTACATTGGCTATGGAATGCCCTCTCCATAGCAAATAACCTAGCACATATATCTTAAGCTGTAGGTGTATTTACTGACTATAGACTAGCATTTCCATGTGCCCAGGTGTTCTCTTATATATATGTAAAAAACACCCCATTTTAATGCTTAGAAAGTTGTAATTCTTGGCCTTTGTCTTATCCTTAGAATTTTTTTAATTGCTTGAACTACATTTTTGTAAATTACCATATTATCTGGCTATTTTAACTTTGCTGCTTATGAGTTTAATATTAGTAATATTATGCAATTGGTTTTATGTTTTTATTCAGATTTCTTCCAAGTTTTGTAAGCCACTTTGAAAATTTGGGGAGAAGGTGGGTAATAAATACCCCCAAATTAATAAAATGCATGGCACTTTGTACAGATTTAGGCTTTTTGATTGAGATGATGAGGGAAAGGATAGGGATGACATGAGACTGTTGTGGATGAGAGAACTGAACAGTTAGGCTTATTTGATCGACATGATAAGAAATTGGGTGGGTGGGAAACTGCAGAGTAAGTGGAAATTTTGCCTGCAGCGATTGGGAGATAGGTCGAGATCCCACAGATCAGTGGGGCTTCTTAGTGGATGAAGGAACTGAGGCTTGCTTCAATCGATGTGATCAAGGAATAGGTAGAGGTGGCAGAAAGTGGTGTTTTTGTTTGTTTGTCTTTTCTCCACTCGATGAAGGAATCAAACTGTTAGGCTTCTTCGGCAGTGAGGAGGACTGGATAGGGAGAGTGGAATAAGTGGGGATTTCTCCTCGGAGAGCATTTCGAGGCCGGTGTGGCTGAGAGGCTCAGCGAATGGGCAGGCGGTTGGGGGCGCCCGTGCCAAGCGCCGCGGCAGCCCCGGCTTGGGCGGTGGGGGAAGAAAGCCCGCGCGATCGAGGCCGCCCGGCCGTCAGCCAAGCGCGGCTGCCGAGGAGGAGGCGCCGCCAGGGAGCGGCGGGAAACGAGGCGCGGGCAGGCGGACGGGCGGGCAGGCGGGCAAGCCGGCCGGCAGGGGGACGAGCTCCGTGACGTCACCGCCCGGGCTGACTATAGGCTACGCGCTGAGCTCCCCGAAGCGGCGGCGGCTCCGGCTCTGGCTCTGCCCGCTTCAGTCCGCGCTTTCCGCAGCCTGTGCGAGCGCGGCGGCAGCAGCAGGAGCAGCAGCTGGGGGCTCCCTCGGCAGCCCAGGTAAGGGGGAGAGGGGGGATCCTTCCCGCTGCCGCCTGACCTCCTCTTCGCCCAGGCTTGCGCCTCGCCTCCGGGGGGCAGCCTCGCCCGCCACAGCCCCGAAGCCACGCGGGGTCCCCCCTCCTCGGGCAGCCGGGGCGGGGACAGGGGCGCCGCCGGAGGTTGCCCGGGGGAAACCCCTAGGAGGGCTGCAGCCCGCGGAAGTCCAAAATTTGTCCGGCGCTGGAACTCGGGGAGGGGGAAACGGGTCGAGGCGAGCGAGCGAGCTGCTGAGTAATCCGAGGCGGCGGGGCTGCCAAACCAGTCCTGGCGCTCCGCTCCCCCCCCGCCCCGGAGGCAGCGGAGGCGCGGCTGCTGGACTTCGCTGGGGGTTGGCCAGGCCAGGAGGGACGAAGCACCTGGCTCCCCATCCGGAGCGAGCTCTTTCCCCTGGACCTCGGGGACAGCGAGGATGATGGGTGGGATGCGGCCGGCCGGCCAGGGCGCCGCCGTGCCTTTCGCTTCCCCCTCCTCCCGTGCAATCCTGTGCAGAGTTGGATTCCGACCGAAAGCGGCGGGATCGATGGGTTTCGACCGGAGCAACTCTGCATAGGGTTGCAGTGCCAGCCGCTTTGTCTCCAGCGGGGTCCTCCGTCTCGTTATTCCGGGTACGGAACAATCCCTGATTCCTGGTGTGGAACAGAGTGCAAATCCCTAGTTTGGGGGTGAATGGGTGGCTAGAAGGAGGGCAGATGGAGGGGGGTTAGGGGGTGAAGCAGCCGAGGGGGTTACGTTGGGCTGTGTCTTGCATCCTTTTGCAACAATTGGAGCTGTGATACACTCATCCCTCCTTTTTGCAGGCTGGATCTTCGTTTCCTCTTAGGAGAAAAAAAACGAGGGAGGGAGGGAGCCTGGAGCACTGCGTGAAGGTGAGGCATCCCCCGCCCCCCTACTCCGGCGAATACAAAAATTGCCACCGGCCCAGTTTCAAGTGTTCTGCCACGAAAGGAAGACGATCCTCCTCCTTTTTTAAAAAAACAAAAAGCCTCCTCAATGAGTGCCAAGCTTTCCAAGGAGTTGAGGCTCTCCCTGCCGCCGTGCCTCTTGAACAGGACATCTGGCTCTCCAAATGCCAGCAGCACCTGCATCACGCAAGTGGGCCAGCTCTTCCACTCTTTCTCCTCCACGGTCGTTCTGATTGTCTTGATCACCCTCATCCTTTGCCTCATCCTGCTCTCTCTCATTACTTTCCACGTCCACAAGAGGAAGATGAAGAAGCGGAAAATGGAAAGAGCTCAGGAGGAGTATGAACGGGACCACTGCAGCGCCACCAGCAACGAGTCGGGGAATCCGTGTGAAATACCCCAAGGAAGAGAATCATCCGGCCTTGGAAGAACCGGCCAGGATTCTAATAGCCAGTGTACTTCTGCCATGGAACCCCAGAACCCCCATCCGGCAAGATCCTGTTTGGACACAGATGCTCCAGGGCTCTTGCAAACAGTGGTATTGTCTTGATTTCCTTGATTTTATTATTTTTTTGTGTGTGGAGACCTCACCAAAAGACACTTGTTTGGTGTTTGTACATACCTGAGTGATTATTATAATCCTGATGAAGAAAATTATTATTATTACTATTACTATGATTGATAATGAAAGAACGAGCCAGCCAGAATTCAAGCGCATGACAAATTCTATTGCGTTTCTTCTTGACTTTTGCAAAGGGAAGGATGCATCTCTTCATTTATGTATTTTCCCCCCCTTTCAAGAGAAGACGAGAAAAAGCAAAGCTGCACAGTTGCTACCAAATATAAAGTCATCTGAACTACAAGAGATGGTGTGGGCAGTAACAGTTGTGATGTACATACATAAAAGATCTCGAATATGTATAAAAACAGCATATCTGCTTCCCCACTCTTCTGTGATGGGGATTATACTTCATTGTAATAGTATTTAAAGGACCATTTTTTTTAAAAAAAAGATCAATACCAAGAATGAAAGGGGGGATGAAAAGCTGAATGGGGGTGGGGGGGGATAACAGAAAGACAGAGACTGATTCTGAACATGTGTTTGGGGTTCAGAAGCACTGGCTAGGGGGGGCTGGCTTTTCTGCTCCATTTGCTATGATGAAGAGCAAGATGACCCTTCTTGTAAGGATTCTTGGGTTAGAAGCTGTGCCCACTTCCTCCTTTTCTTCCCTAACACCTTCATGCTCTCCTGGTTAAGAAACTGTTCTCCCCCCCCCCCGACACATTTGCCCCCAGTTAGAGCCAAGTAAGTAACAAATTACCTCCCCGCTGCCCAATGCTGCTCCTCCCTTTTTAATTTATCTCCTTCTCTCTCTGCAGTATTACCTACCCTGAGCCCTGCAAAGCTGCGAACACTGAACAGTCTAGCTATGCTTCTGTATCTCTATCTATGGGAGGGGGTGGGGTTGTTGCTCCACAGGAATGTTTTGGGTTGTATCTCTCTCTATTTCTCGAGGCATTTTCAAAATGTAACAAGCCTTTTACATTAAATCTGGAATAAGGTACCTTTTGTGGATGAGCAAGACCAATGTGATGTGCAGTAATTTATTTCATCATCAGATTACCAAAAAACAGCAAAAAGAAATAATCACGTTGTTGGTAATGAAAGAAACCCACTTCATGCCATATCTTATGCACATTCCTCTGCAGTGTAGTTTAGCCCAGCCTGATTTGCAGTGTGTCTGATTGAAAACTGAATTTATCCATCAGTCCAGCATGGAGCAATGTTCTGCTATTCTAATGAGGATATTTTTGGGGTGTTAATCCTGTTTTACACTAGACTGCTGTATAGTGACAGCATGCCACCTATTCCTTCGCTCCTGTCCTTTTTGTGGATTCAGATCTCCAGGGTATCTGCTAAAAATATAATCTACTAAAAACTCAGAAAAAAGAGCCTGAAGTGATTCCCCCCCCCCAAATAACTTTCAATGTCCACAAGAGGCAGGGCTATGGCTCAGTGGTAGAGTATCTGCCTTGCCTGGCATGCAGAAGGTTCTACCAGGTTCAATCTCCAGCATCTCCAGTTAAAAGAACCAGGTAGTAGGGGATGTGAAAGGCCTCTGCCTGATGCCCTGGGGAGCTGTTGCCAATCTGAGTAGATGATCCCTGACCTTGATGGTCCCGTGGCCTGTGTTCCAGTAGCCAGAGCGCAGAGAACAGTTCTATCTCTGATCTGATTCAGTACAAGGCAGCTTTATGTATTTAACTTCTCAACTTATTTGGCCATGGAGAAAAGAGAGTGGGGGACAGCCTGGATTGGATGGTGTTCAATAGAATAACGAATGAGAGTTCCACTCAAAGTTAAACATTTTTAAAGCGCCTCCCTTATTTCCATGGGAAATAATTAAGTATGTACTTACCTCTCCCATTGATCTTAAAAGTTGCCTCTATTGTGGCCCAAGGTGGCTTTTAAAAATATTTATCTAATTTGTTTCAAGCAAAAGAAATGTTACTTGCAGGAAACAGAGTTTGTTTGGCTCAACTGGTGTCTGCCTCCACCCTCTTTTTTTTTGTGGTGCAAATAGTGCCTTAAGAGAGTAGACTATTTTAAAGCTAAAACCAGTGGCTCAAGAAGAGATAGACGCTCTTAGGTACATTTCATTTAATAACAAATACAACAATGAGAAATAAACGGAAGAAGACATCTCCCAGCTACACATTAAAAAGTAAAGACCCAACTGGATGTAATTTTCTGCTTATCTTTAATTTATGTTCTCTTCACATTCTTCCCACTTTCCCCCAGTGAGAGTGGAAAGCGTACTCTTGAAAGTATGCTCTGATCACTTAGATGACTTGGATGTAGACTTAAGAAGATCTGTGGAGAAGGAAAAGGGAAGAAGGGCTTGGTGGATGGGCTGCAGAGATTTCCAGCATATTGAACCACAGTGTGATTGTGATACCGACTTGCAAAGATGTATGTTTAGTGGATTTATGTCATATTTTCTTCTTCCTTCCACTCTTGGCTAATTGGATATTGCTGCCGGGCTACAATCTCTGCCTCCAGAATCTTAGGCCAATGATCTTTTGTCTAGCCAGAGGAAGCAACGTCAGCAACACAGGATGGTGTATCATGCCAAATATACCTTGGCAGTTACATTACAGCAGTGTCGCAGATTATTCTCAGGTAGTGTTTCTTTTCTACCCCCCCCCCAAAAAAAAATTATGGTGTTCCATTTTGATTCTGCATAGGATACTCCTGAAGTGGTGTATCTCAGAAATCACTTCCGTGTGAGTTAGATTATTGTTCCATTGAAACTGATGTAATAATAAAAGAGCTAGATTCGAGTTTAGTCGTATCTTCGAGATCAACGAGATTTTCAGGGTATCAGTTTTTGAGAGTCAAAGCTGCCTTTAACTCTTAAAAGTTCATACCCCCAAAATCTTGTTGATTATGGCGGTTACTGGACTCGAGTCTCGCTGTTCTACTGCAGACTGAAATGGCTAACTACTGATCATAATCTAACAATGTAGTCATGGGACTTAGGCCTCCCTCTTGCACACAGCGGATGTGGTAGTAAATGTGTGACTACTGTGTACTACTTCAGAGTGAAGGTAAGGGCTTCCATGATTAAATGTGTCTCAGTATGGCTGGATTAAGTGTTTCTCAATATGTTTCTCAAATGGCTGGATTGTGCCCACTATGTTCTAATGAATAATTATATTCCATAACATCCAAGGTCCAATAAAAAGCAATATGAAGCTTCTGAGTGCATTTCAGGCCGGTGATTCTGCCCTTCTAGTGCATGAAATCAATCACTTTCCTTCCTGTTTTATGCACTCAATAATTCCCCAAAGGTGTACTGCCTGTAAGACCGTATTGCAATTATAAATTTGTGCCATTTGTGATGAAGGGACAAAAAAAAAAGATACATCAGAGCAAAGGCACAGCTCTGCATTTTAAAATGGAAAGGATAACAATAGCATTTATAGCTTAGCCAAAAAAACTACCCCTTCTCGTTGTTAATTAGCTTTTTAATATCTTTGTGTGCATGCATAAAAACGGTTTCTGGCTAAATTTTCACACATGGCTTTATTTTGCAGAGAGATGGTCTCTTACTTCAAGGATTGCTTTAAAACAAGTAGCAACCCAGAATGTTTAAAACATACATACACACACACAAAAGTGCCAGGCATTAGAAATACAAATTATCACATCAGATGAATGCAGTAAAAGTTAATGAATTCTTCCAGGTTACAAAAATCATTTTCAAGAGTGACTGGCTTTGAAATGTTTAATTTGTACAGTTTGGGGAAAGCAAGGGCGTGTACATTTCCTTTTAGACTCCTATGGAATAATGCGCAAGCTTAGAGAAGAGTATCTGGAACAGTTTTTGTTTCTTTTTTCCAAAGGGACTTAAGGCACAGAGGTTCTGTCAAAGCAATTGCTTCAAAACCGTACAGCTACAACGAAACTTCTCCACTTAGCATTCAGTATTAATAAGGCCAATGGTTCTTCAGCTTGCTGCCTTGCTCTCTTTCTTTCTCTGAATCAGAATAGCTGAGGAAGGGCTTGTATTAACTGTCTGGGGAGTCTGAGGCCACATGCAGCTTTCAAGAGAGACCGCAGCACAATGCTGGAGCACTGCTTACGATAAAGATGTTGGGGGGCTCCTATCTCACTGTGGTCAAATGAGTTTTGGGGTGGTTTTGTGTTTGTGTGTATGTTCATGCTGTTTGAGGATTTTCCCTAGAAAAACCAACTCCCCAGAAGCATGACCACATTTTACTGTATGATATTTTTAGAGAGAGCCCAGGAAGAGTAATACATTTCCTCTCCACTGACTAGCACAATTTTTTTAAAAAAATGCTTTTAACACTTTAAAAAACTCCTTGCATGTGAAAGGATTGGTGCATATCAAGCTAGGCATCTATGTAGCCTTTTGTGGAGTGGGAAGGGGAGAAAGGCTGTGAAGCTTCCGTTGAGGCAAACCTGGCTAGACCATAATGCTGTGGTGCTCTTTCCATGTCACCACTGGAGTGGAACAAGAGCAGTGTCGCTGCAAGTAGGAAAAGGACATGCATTTCTTCCCACAGCCAGGCTTTCCTTCTGTTCCTCCTCCATTGTCTTGCAGAATTTTGAACCTCCAAATGCAGCCTAGCGGACAAGCGTTTTGCCCCACTTGCTGCTTGATCAGATATTTTTGCAGTTCTCTGGAGTTCCGGTAGGCCACAATTAATGAACTACCCTGTTTCCCCGAAAATAAGACCTACCCCCAAAATAAGCCCTAGCAGGATTTCTATGCATTTGTGGTATAAGCCCTAGTGTGTCTTCTTGAGAAAAAATAAATATAAGACAGTGTCTTATTTTCGGGGATACACGGTATATGCAAGCCTTTGTGGATCACAGTTTTTGCCGTCTTGTTGTAAAGTTACTGAGCTACTGCTGCTGGGTCGTGGCAAGTGGCATGGTAGATAAAAGTGGGGAGAATTCTTCCTTGAAGTTGCAGATCAGTTATTGTCTTTACATAACCTAAGTTTGCTTGAGGCTATTATGTTGTCCTTTAACTTATGGTGTATTCAGTTTAAAAGCCAACCATGTGGCAGTTATAATGATGTAAGGAAAATGGACATCCATAAATACCAATCACAAGCCCAGTTTTGCAGTTTTTTGCATTCTAATTGGCTGTGCAGGAGTGTTGGGTTTAACTGTGTGGTTGGAGGCACCAGGTCTCTTCCTCTCGTGGTCACAGGTGCCATATGGTAAGCTTCAAAGGCCTAATATACACATTCAGCAGAATGAGGTGGTACAGTCCAGAGGAGGACTCCACC